TATGGAGTAAAGGAAGAATGACATGAACAATTTTTTTCCAGCTATTTTATGTAGCATGTGCATTTTGCAGAGTAGTGTTGAAACTCTACAAACATTCTAGAAGTGACAGGTATGCTTGGAAAAAAAGACATTTATTATTTATTTTTAAAGACAAGTAAGTAATAGATACCATTTTCATATTTTGGCAAGAGAATGTGAATCAACAGACAACTTTTTATTTCTATGGCTTTACAATAATGCCAATGGTTTAGAAAAGTAAGATGGAATACTACAACTTTCCATGTCCATAAGATATTTTGTGTCCATTCTCAGCAAACATTGTCATAAAAATACAAAACAGGAAGAAATTGTATAGGGTACCAAATACAAATGAACAAAAACACAATTTTAAAGGCTGGAAGATTATCAGGAAACCTTCTAAACCGCACTGGACTTTTTAAATTGAGGCCATGATTGCATATAAACTTACTCAGCGAGTTCTGAAAGTAAATAATCCTGTTGAAACATATTATGCACCATTGTTTCTGTTTTTCTTCTAAGTGGTAGCCCTTCATCCTTCTGATCACATTCCAATCAATACACACACACACACACACACACACACATATACTGTATATATATGAACAACTGTAATTCAGCTACCTAACTTATGCATCAGAAGTTTCATAATAATTGGTGAGATACTTTTTAGGCTGTTTTACTCCCACAAGCATATCTATAATATACTAAGGATTATAAGTAAATTTCCATTTTCTACTAATTAATTATCTTGTGTTTTTATGTGGTATTTTTCATTTTTGTTGCCTGTATTTTTAACTTTATTTCAAAATAAAATTCCTCTTTTTTCATTAAATGATGTCCCAACGTGATTGTGTCATATCAACATTATTGCATCAGAGTTCCTTTTTATGTCTGGTGTTTTAAGTAATACATGTGTGTGCTTGTGTGCATCAGTAACCTTTAGAGAGAGAGAGCGAGAGAGAAACTGACAACTGTGGCTTGAACAAAGTTAAGAAATTAGGAAGTTGAGCTATGATGGTTTGCTTATGCAATGATGATGCCTCTTAGACAAGGTCAACTGATTTAGGAGAGCAGAATCAATAGAGGAATTTGGATGGAGAGAAATTTGAAAGCATTGCTAGCAAGCATTCATGTCAACAAATACCCACTGTCATGTTCTTTGATGTTTCTTGTTGGATATGTTACAGCAACAGGTCATTTCACCTTGGGAACTGAATCAGCCTAAACCAATATACTTTTAATGATCTTCAGTGAAGACTACATATGTCTTTATAATTATTTAAAGACATTTTAAGCTTGCATAATTAAAATGTTAAACACTGTATGCTAGGTTGATCTTAGGTTGCTTTTGTATGGCTACAATGTGAGTTGATCTTTTTAAACTATGAGATGTAGATCAACTCAGTATTTGGAAGTAACCCCCATGACTTACATAATCCTATTTCATAGCATCTAAACTTTGGATTGGTACCTTACAAATCAATCATTTATTTACTCTGAAGAAAGTCTAATTAGTTCAATGAGGCTTACTGTGTTTAGAATTGCAGTCTTAATTTCTTTTTATCATGGTAATAGAAAAATAAGGACATAAAATCATAAGGAAACAAGTCCAGATTAATCCTTATAGGTTAAGCTGACTTTGAAACTTCAGTTTTATTTGTTTAAATCAATACATGCTTGAGACAAAAATACATATAAAAACTGACAGAGCAACATATTTTAAAACACAACTGGGTAATATTTCCTCTAATCACATAATAACACTGCTAGAATAATATAGATGAGACTAAGCTGAGGAAAGATTTCTTTTTTCAGGTTTCCTGTGATCATATATTATCATCAGAGGGAAAATCTATAGGCACATCAAATGTATTACTATAAATCTGAAGGATACAGGGCTGCCAAGTACAGGCTGCCATCTAGAAGGATGTGTAGTGATCTCCATGAACTCAGCAGGGCCTCTGATTATTATTTTCCTAACATCAGTACCAGGCATCTTTTGAGAATCCACTTTTTAAGAGAAGCTTCAGAAGTGGCTTGGGAAACTGTGTGTGGAGCAACTCTTACTCTTAGAATGGTCAGGAGCCTCGTTGTAGATCAGTATCTGGCATTGGATACCCTTGAAGCTGCTTTCTAGACTGTGATCTTCGGCCTCACTGGGCATCTGTCAAAGTTCTCACTGCTGGTCACATGCACCACTTTGAAGATGTGATGTGTGTATTGTATATTGGTAGCTTTTGACTAAGAAAAGTAGTACAATGTGTTTAGTATTTTGTCAGTTTCTTTTTCAAACTGATTTCACAGTATTGTTTTAAATAATATTCACCTTTGTGAGACTGTTGCACATGAATGGTTACTAACTATGTTTCTAACACATACACACAACCTTCAGTATCTGGGGTGGTTTGCCTCTGTATAACAGTTCTAGGCACATGAGTAGGAGGATGCAGTTACATTCAAGTCCTGCTTATGAACTTCCCACAGGCATTTGGTTGCCTGTGTGTGTGAAAAATACTGAATGATGGGCCTTTGATCTAATCCATAGAGATCTTATAAGGTTGTAGCTGGTTATATCTTGGGAATTACCTTTAATTACTTGGTCAATAGCTGCTCTGGGAGGCAGAACAAGTTTCAGAACCAATTCATTCATACATACATGGAATAATTAACTAGGAAGTAGCATGGTAATGGAAAAAACAACATGGAAACTGAGCGAGTCAGAAGGGGCCTATCAGGCCATCTAGTCTGACCCCAGGCTCCAGCAGCTCCGCTCATAACATGCCTGCCATGTGCATGTCCAGCCTATCCTTGAACACCGTCACCAATGGGGCTTCAATTACCTCTGGAAGCTGTGGAAGCCTATTCCATACCCAAAAAGGATGGGATGGTGGTGATTACAGGTACTGTACTGGATGCAGTTGATTTAGTTATATGAATCTTTTGCAAGGGCACTTGGCATCACTGCAGAAATATTTGATCTTGGACACAGGAAATAAGAGATGTAACAGTGATAAAACTTCAGTGAAAACCTTGGTCCAGTTTCAAATAAATTAAGCACCTAATAGTGCAATTGTATACATTTTCTACTCAGATAAGGTCAATTGAGTTCAAAGAGCTTACTCCTAAATAAGAGGGTTTAGGATTGCATTGAATTAATGCTGCAAAAAGCTGAAGTCCCACTATTTAATGAGACCCATGAATGACTCAGTTGGACTGGAGTCAATATTGTGTCTAGTGTGACGTGTTCAAATTGAAGTGTGCATAAAAGATCTAGTTTAAAAGGGAAAAAAGGGTTTGCACACCAATCCTAAACATTTCTTCTGTGTGCTTACCTGCAAAACTTACTTAATATAATGTTTTCTGCTCTGCCTACACATCTACTGCTATACCTTCTCCCATTATAAGAAATATAAAGGTGCATTCAGATTTATGACCTTGTTATATGTCATTTCATATTTAAAAAGAAAAATAACAGGTTTATGAAGGAGGAGGGTCAGGACAATGGCTTGGAAAAGGAGGATTTGGTCTGTAAGAAAATGTATCTTCAGCAAACAAAGCAGGAAGTGCAACTCAAACTCCACTTGCCTCTGCATGTATATTAGCAATAGATCATATTAAAAATTACTTCTCTAATCCTTAATGTTGGTCAGCCAGAACTGTGGATGCTACCTGTATTTTGGATGAATACAGAATTAAGGAACGTATCAAAGGGCAACTACTTGGAATATTTTCTAATGTAATATTCATGAGAGGTATTCTCTTTAATCCTTAGCTATTGGTAAGTGCTATACATTTTGCATGGCCAGTGTTCAAATCACAGAAAAACAAGGGAATTCATAGATATCTTTGCTGCTTAGATAGCAATGATGTGAACATCAGTTGCAAGGTTTTGAGATGTAGGTGGCACTGTTAACTATGGAATCTATAAAGTCAATCTCTTTCACACAGTAAGAGTAACAAGCTCATATTCCTTTGGCCTCCAAATAAACAATCTACTTAGCAAAATAAATTACTCATATAATACTTTGTGGAAAAATCTGATTTGTCTAAAATCCTTTTTGTGGGAATTATATTCACAATCTGTCTTGAATAATCTGCCAGTTAACAAATCTGAAGGAAGACTATATGAACTGTCCAGATTATGTTTATAGATGGATACCACTGATTTTTTAAAGGAAGATGAAACTAAGGCTTAATTTCTCTGAAACGTCATCAAGTCGTAACCCTTGTAACTATTGTCACTGTCAAAGCACAAACCTGAACAACTTAAATTGAAAAATAGATGGAAGTGCAGAGTACACTTTCCTTACTTTTAAAAAAGAACAGAAAGTCACCACCTGGTTGATGAAGAAGGGTCTTCCAGATTAGAGAGTGATGTTTCCATATAGAATTGAGCTCAAGCATCTCATTTTCTGCAAACTGAACTCTGGATAAAACCCTGTGTATAGGTTTACTTTATATTTTATTCTGGTCAAATATTAAGAGACACTTGTTTTCTTTCCACCATACCTTCCACTATTCATAGTCAGAATGGCTTTCTAAATATCTACAAATTTGTGGTCAAATCTTGCTCTCACTAAAGCATTTTTCTTTTGTTTTAATCTGAATTAAAACAACTGTTTTAGTGTTTCTATTCTGTATGAAACATGCATTTTATAATGCTTCAAGTAACATGAAAATGATTATCAATGTAAAATGTAAAATAATCCAAATTGCTTATCTATTATCTATCTATCTATCTATCTATCTATCTATCTATCTATCTACCTACCTACCTACCTACCTACACATATTCATTCAGCATCTTATTCTGAAGATTCTGTTTATCGTGTGATAATGCTGTTGTCATTTATAACATTGCTAGTATTATTTTCCAGATGCCAGTACAGAGGTCTTTATCTAACCAATTCTCACTAACAGGATGTGTATTTCCTGGTAGTTTATCTATTCATCTTGTGCCCCCTGTCATTTCTTCTTAGGATGGAGTTGGTGTAGATGAGAAGCTGTCCTTGAGACAAGTAGCTGTTGTTGAAGATTTCTTTGACATAATCTACTCCATGCATGTGGAAACAGGGCCCAATGGAGAACAAATCAGAAAACATGCTGGACAAAAGAGGACTTACAAAGCAGTAAGTAAAGAACCTTACAGCAAAGAGGGTGGTATATCTTTATTATACTGGTTATATAGACAGAATCATGATTTATCTGACACTCTCACCAACACATGGATTCCTAAGAACTACATGTTTTAAAAAATCATTTCCCCCAAAAAATGATAGATGCATTTTATCTGGCTACTTGCCAGGTTTAAGGAAAAATACATGGGCTAGAAATTATAAGGACACACAAGGACCCACATTTTGCAAGTAGGAAAGTAGACTAGAAGTAATTGTTTCAAGCACATTTAATACTGTTTCAGATGCACAGACACAGGTATTTTCAAGGAGGCATTTTATACTGTATGTGTGAAAGTCACTGATAAATAATTGTATGCATATCATGCTCATATGTACTGATGTATCTAGAGCAACTCAGTTGATTCCTTTATATTCTTAAACTTTATTTTTATTGATTTTTAAAAACAAAATATCTTTACTCTAATAGTTAACTAAGAATGTAAATAACAAAATAACAAATTTCTATCTTCAAGTAAACTCCCTGGAAACCAAAGGCATGACACATACACAGGACCTGATCTTAAACAAAGTTGGTAGGGTAACATTTTCAGTTCCTGTCTACTCTATTTCTTCACCAGCAAAGAAACTTTTTATAAGTAGGCTGTGCCATGTGTGACTGTTACTCAACTTTCTTCTCAATGGCCCAGTCTTGATGTTTCAGTTTTCCTCGCCACACTCAGACAATCTCCCTTCCTGGATTGCACATGTTATATACAGGCTCTTATCAAACATTTATGTAATGCAGCACAGACACTTATGCACATGTATATAAGCCTCCATGCAAACTGCAAGTTGCATATATGCGTATTTGGGGGCAGGCATGTAGAATGTGATGTCAGGGACAGAGTTATGCAGCACAGATCCACTTCCCACTCATATGTTAAGGTAAACTCTTTTTTAAAATTCCCTTGGTGGTTTCCATTTCTGGTTCAGAAAGTATACACTGTCATGGCCCAGAACTGGCAACCCTGAGAAATCGTAGCCTTCGGTGACAGACATTCTAAGATGGCATCAGAAGCAGTTCCTGGGGTCCACTGTCTCAAAACCCCATATCTTATCTATGCAATCCACAGGGGTTCTTCTGACTCCAAGGAGTGAACTGCAAACTCCACTAATGAAGAGCGAGATCCCTAGGAACAGTCATCAAGCGTCTTCCCTTGTCTAACCTTCATTCCCTAGGAGATGCCAATGCTGCTTGCAGAAAAAGGCTGCTGGTCCTTTAATAGCCAGGTGCAGCACTTGAAGGGGTGGAGTTTTCAGAGTAACTTTCCTAGACAGACTATAAACACCTGCAATACATTGCTCCCAGATGCTGCTGGAACAACCTGTCAATTCCCTAGCTCCAAGATTGCTGACCAAGGTCCTGAAACATACTCATCTTCGGCACACTGAGCCTCCTGCCTGAGCTGTCATCCAGGGCAGATGATGGATTCCTAATGGAGCATGACAATCAGGAGCTAAAGTTTTCCAGTTCAGATGTAATGGCAATATATGGTTTACTGTGAATCAAGAACTTGGGAATCTGAACACAGAACGATGGCAGGGAATGGTAAACCTATCTTTCATTCATGTAATGCAAAACAATGGCTTGGAGCTAAATTTAAACTGGATCAGTAGGAATTATGTCCCTTTGATATTTGTTCAGAGACAAATAGGAATTTGTGCATCCATTTGCACTGTACACACTTCCCAAGATAGGTTTTGGAAAAAGTAAGGCAACTTTAGTTTGAGCTCTATGGCACTTTTCTGCTGTGATGCTGCATTAACAGCTACTGCATAAAAAGTAAAAGAGGAGAATCACTTGGGAGCAGAATCTTGATGTTTACATGAGTTGGAAGAGAGCTGTCATGTCAAAAATACTGTGCCTATGGGGCAGTTTGTGGTCAAATAGATGACTGGTAATGGATGCTGCATGTGACAGCTAAGCTGAACTGATAGCAGGTATATACCAACCATCCTGGAATCTAGCAATTTATCTATTGTCAGACAGTAAAGCTTCTTTGTTTTTGCAACCAAAGTATGAGCTACCTGCCTTCTTTTCCATGATATAACCTAAGCACCTTTATCAAAATTACATTTTATAGGTTCTAAATTATTGTATAAACTTGGTGCTTATGGTCATGAAAAAGGCTTTAGATGTATAGATGCAGTCCTCTACGTTCTCTCCTAAGTCTTTCAGTCACACAAATTTAAACTCAATTAATTTCAACCTACATGTTTTTATGCTGACTGCTTGCTAATGATAAACACTAAAATGTCCTAGGATTATGTTTTCTGTCACTTGCAGCAAAATCCTATGCACTTTGCCTCTTAAGTACATCCCATGGTGATCAATAGTGCTTAATCTTAGGCAAATGTATAAAGGATTAACAATCATAATTGAGGGTTGCAGAGTCTCATGGTATTTTGGAGCAACACTCTTGCTTCAGCATGCACATCCCCTTGGTGGCTCTTTGTTGTTGTTAGTTGCGAAGTCGTGTCCAACTCATCACGGCCCCATGGACAACATTCCTCCAGGCCTTCCTGTCCTCCACCATCCCCTGGAGTCCACTCAAGCTCACACCAACTGCTTCAGTGACTCGATCTAGCCACCTTATTCTCTGCCATTCCCTTCTTCTTTTGCCATCTATTGTTCCCAGTATTAGACTCTTCTCCAGGGAGTCCTTCCTTCTCATTAGGTGGCCAAAAGAAGAAGGG